ATAAAACGATCTGGTTATTCACCTAAGGACCACAATAACGTGAATAATTACTGTAATAAGTAGTTATAACAAAATATATAGTGATAAAGTTAACAATCTTCGATACGTCGTGGTCGGCGACCTCAAGGACGTTTGAACGTTCGAACATTCACATCTCTTTGGCCATAAACTTACAGCGTCATGTAACGATTGGCACAGTGTCCTTGCCAAGTAAAATTTTAGTTATAGGTGCACTGATCTCATAACATATGTGGATCCGTACGGGCCACTTACCAGATAGATTCAGGTCATCTGTTTGAGGTGGTAATTTTGAAAATAAATAATGCAAATATTGGAAGTATTGGTTATTATATTATTATGTGTAACATGCGTTGGCGACCGATCCAGTTAAGGCAAAGGTAAACTAGTCCGCTCAGCTCTGATATGAGCTCATACGCCGAAAACGGTTTCATAAGAATGAGCATATTTTAAAACTTTTTGGTGAAAGTACCGCGGTTTCAACGAACCCGGTTATCATGCAATTATCAGCCATATAGTAGGTTAGTTAGATACAATATGATAATATATATCGGCGAGTCATCGTCCGTTGGATAAGATAATGTTTTAATAACAAAGATTCATTCGGTAGATTGTAAGTTTCAATGTAAATTATATTATTATGGAATTTTTATTAGTAAAATAAACAAGCGTTTGTTACTCATAAATCATAATGATAATATGTCCATCGTGTTGTGATTGCGTTGCTCTAAAACTCTCTCCACGTGAAAATATTCAAAATAGATATAACCCGTAGATTCGCATTTTTCGTATTATATGTTATGTCCTACGAGGATTCACTGATTGTAGTTTCTCCAGAGTAAAAAAACTAATTTAAATTCAGTTACCATTTATATTTTTTTTTTTAGTTTTAGTTTCTTAAAATATCATAAGCACCGGTAAGGGTCCATGCACTTAGACTTGTTGGTCCATTGTAATTTTGTGCGCATCCTCTTACCAAAGTCCTATTTCACATAAATACTTTTAAATAACTGATGAACTTCTTTACTCGTTCATCGTCAGCCGTACCTATTATAAATACCATGATCTCAAATCTGTATTTTTAATTTGTTTTTAAGACTTTAAAATTTAAAATTAAAATTTTTTAAATATAGTAGTTTATTAAAATTAACGCCAGATCGCCAACCAGTGACAAAAAATGCAAGCATTGCGAATGCACAGTGGGCAAATAATTGCTAAAAATAGGTGAACAAAACTATATGAAATTATTTACATCTTAATATTATCTACATCAGTTCCCAAGACAATTTTAATAGTCCTTGGCTGGTTTTGTTATCTTATTGAGTATTATTAACTGTTTAATCTTATATAGGAATTTAATCGTTTTGGACACTGTTGGTCATTAATAGTTTCATTCTAGTGCATTTTTAAAGAATTTTATATTTTTTTCTCCAGAAATTTTGTGAAAAATGGATTCGTCATTTACAGGTGATTTTTGTAGGTGTACATCTAGTATGGAATTGTGGAATAAAAATATTTACTTAGCCAAACAAATTTTAACAAAATTACAAATTTTCTGAATTAACAGTAACTGTTCTCTTACGGCTGAATTGTGAAATGTTTATTTACTCCGAAGAAATTATTACGACGAGTACTATTTTTGCACCGGGTTTATTTTCTATTTACTATTACATGTTCTCCTGGAACGGTTTCAATACTGCAATATCGCCAACTCTGCAGTGTCTACTGAGTTACTACAATTTACTGTACTGATTTAAGGAAAAGAAATATAGTAAATTAAAATATATTATAACTTTGAAGGAATATTTCTAAATTATAATATTGTGTTTACTTTTTTACATGTTTTGACTGAACGATAGCAATATATTTTTTTATAACTAAGCATAATCGTCGGGCATATTTACCTCCGTTAATTATGGTGTAATTTGACGGCAAGTGTCCGTTACTCGGTTTCCGTTAATACACCAATAAAATACAATTAATTCATATAAAAAACTCTGGTATCGTAGTGGCCATTGTAGTCCATCGCATATAATATTTACTTCGGAAGTAATCGGTCGGTAGCTCACAATTATTACACAAATTACTAATCAGTAATCAGACATAACTTTCTATTGTTATTTTCGAAATTTAATTCTAAACCAATCCATTAACGTGTTTCTGTCGGATAATTGATGGAATACGATAAATGATGTTATTTAAAACATAATTCATAAATAAGATTAAGTTATAAAATAATGTAAAACCTATCAATAACATTAAATTATATTAAAAATAAATGATGTATAAAAATATCTGAACGATAAATAAATGTGTTATGAGAGAGCAACAGCTGAGTCTATACTTCATACGATAATTTAATAAATTTAACTACTCAAGTTCCATGGCATCAGAGATCTTATTCAAACTGATAACTGTCCATAGGTATTTGTCACCAAACTCATAATCTATATGAACAATATTTCTCAAATTTGTTTTATTATTGATTGATAATAATATTATACAGGCTGATTTTTTTGTCATGGACCACTCAATATCTCATAGTGCTTAAAAATAATTGAAATTTTTTTTTTCATATTGTTTTTATACCATATGATCTTAATTTTTCACCATTTTTTTGTTTTTACCCCCCCCCCCCAACTTAGTTTTTTGATAGAAACATTTGATACTTAAATAGTAACGCAAACATTTCATTAAATTTTTATATTGAGATTAATATACAAACATTTTGACTGGTCGATAACTAGTTTTGGTAACTATTTTTGAAGTTATTGAAGTTTTAAGTTTAGGGCAGGAGGAATAGTGTAATGTAGTCCAAACTTTTAAATTCTTATAACTTTAAAAATAAGTTATCTACCAGTCAAAATGTTTAGGGCAGTATTTACAATTTAAAAAGTAAATGAAATGTATGCGTAACCTTTTAAGTTTTAATAAATGGTTTAAAACAAACGAAGCTGGGGGAGGGAGGGGGTGTAATAACAAAAAAAATTGAAATCAAATTATATAAAAAAGATATGAAATAAAAATTGTATTTCTTATTAAACCTTATAATATATGAATTGCTTCACGATAAAATTATCATGTATATATAATATTATGTGCTTGGGTATGTGTATGTTTTATTTTTTAAATAAGGCTTAATTGAGATAAGCCTTATTTGAAGTTTGAGACTTAAGCCAATTAAACTAATTATTCCAAATATAATAATTTATAATATTGAAAAGCATAGTTTATGAAACCTAAAAAGTGTTTTTTTTAGTTTTGGACGAGAGGTGATCGTTGATAGTGTGGTAGAGTAATATGGTCGGATAAATATAATACTCCAACCTTCTCTCCGTTTTAAACTTTAAATTGTAATATATTTAAAATTGATTATTCAAAACTGGTTATCGACCAGTCAACATTTTCAGCAAATGTTTACTCTTATAAAAAGATAATTTAAAACATACATTTACATTTTATTCCCATTTAAGTTTCAAAAAGGGTTAGCTCGTTTGGAGATATTAGGTATTAAGAGAATAAAGTGTAAATTATGTTTGGAATTTTATCCGTTCCCCTGATTATTACTTTTTAGAAAACGTATTTTTTAAATTATATTTCTAGTAAATAATACGTTCTTGGAATACTTAAATACGCGTTAATTGCTTTTAAAAATGTGTTTTCTTTCATTATTATTTTGTCGTGTATTTGATATAAAATAGATTTCTAAGAGGACTTTTTCATCTTTACTTAAAATAGGTCATGTATTTGCTACAACTTACATAACTAATCATTGCATAATATTATTTAAGCATAAATCAGTTATTGCATTTAATATTGTGGTGTTACAACTCTAACTTTATTATGTGAGTTTTGATTTCATGGTATAGATATACTTGCTGTTTTCAAACTTGAAACATTACAGAAATCTGATTTGGGTTATCGAAATTTATTGAGGCTACGGGCAACGATGTCAATGTAAACTTTACCTACAAAGAAGTTCAAAGAAAGAATGAAACAGTCTCATGAAATAAAACGGTTTTCATTAGTTTAAGCTGGCTTGACAGCTCATTGTTATAGAAATTAAAAATTATCCTCAAAACTCGCAATACCACCATCTATACTCTGTTTAAAATAAGAAGCAAGTATAGATGTGTTTACTTGGTTTAATAAATATGGGTTATATGAGTAGAAATGATATAAATAAATCCCAGTACCTTTCAATCATGTTTAACTTTAACTTCAATTCAACATAAACTACAATTTAAACTTATATTTAAAGTGTTTATACGATTTCACATTTCATTTTTGTCGGGGCTTAATCAAACCTTCGAACGAAGAAAGCAAGGTCTGGGTCACTATACTTCCAAGTTAAGAATGGACTCTCGGTTGTGTAATTATTTAAGAATACATTTTTGAATAACCGGTTTCCGATATTGAAAATGAAAGAATACAGATGATCCGCAAGATTTATTATATTATTCTTACCGTTGAAAATAATATTATCAATATAATATCACGGTCAGAACAAAACTTACCTATCTAGACGTAAGGAAGTTAGAAGGAAGGTTTTTATGACAGCCATTAAATGAAGGCGAGAAGTTAACCATGTTTCCACAACTTTGGGTGAACACAAATTATTAGTAATTTTAAATGAGGTAATCGTTACTTTCATTTTGGGATGACCGGAACTAGCAGTTTCAGGATAAACGAGTTCCGTAATAACAGTATTAACCGATTCCTAACTTTCACCTATAGTGGCTCACAAAACAAATAAATATTATGATGACGATCGAAATAACGAATCACCAAATAGCTCATTATCTATTAACAGCACCGCGTGCGAGCCATTAAATTGTTTCGAAATGAATTGATTATAATGATATATGATTGATGTTTTCTAAATTAACTTGGCCAGGAGTTTTGCTGAATTTATTCAGCACGCGGACACCGACGGATTATATCACGTCGTTTTGTTTAAATGTTTTTTTTTTTGTTTTCAGATCTCTTTATGTCTGATGGCGGTATTTGCCGTATGCTGCTGCGTTGCATCCATGTCTGTGGATACATCTTCAGAAAGCACCGCTTTCGACGGTCTGGAGTACAACAGTGACAATACTAGAACGAAGAGATCCGGAGAAATTATCCAGGCGTTGCTTTCCAAAAAATTGAATTTGCTCGGCACTTTGAGTGGCTCATCGGCCGGTAAATCCCTCGGAGTTCCGGACGCAAGTTACGGTGCTCAGCAGTTACCTCTGGTGAGGTTATGCCGGCAGGCGTGTCTTGCTGTGCACACACTGGTTGAGCGTAATCGAACCATTTGCCTTTTTGTTTGTTTTATAGTCTTTCCACACGAAATCGTTTAGCTTGTGGGGCGTCAAGAAGGCGATCATGGCATCGGTATTCCAAGCTGCCAAGGCGATAACGGGCGGTGTGCTAGCCCTGAAGGGTCAACTGATCAAGGCCAAGGGGCACGTGGTCCAAGCCAAAGGAAAATTGTTACAGACCAAAGGGGAGGCTATCACGAACTTGGGAAAAAACGTAGCGACTCACGCGTTTGACTCGGGCGTACATCAACAATACGACGATCAACTAGCGTACATACAGCCTCAATTGCCCGTCCCTACTAGTAATGCTAATATACCGGCGATACCGTTGGCCGATCTTGATATTATTATAATCACTTGACGTATTACTATATATATATATGTGTATTTCAGACTATGGAGGTTACCAGGGGGTGCAGCAGGCGTACTCGCAAACGGCTTACGCGGCTCCTAGACCGATCAGTTACCCAGCGACATACGGAGGTCAGGGTGAATATAGCAACGATGCGGGATACGCCAATCAAGGATACACTGCTAAACGAGCAGTTTCTAATCCCCTGATCGGATCCTCTAATCAAGTTCAAAATGCGTGTAAGTATTTTTTATTTTTACCCATGTACCGTACGTATTTAATGCGACATAAATTAGTTATTACTTGTGAATTCCTTTGCTACAATAGGCAAATAAGGCAATAATGAACATATTAGTAATTCATTTTAGTATTCTAAACAGTAATGGTATTAATGGAAAAATAAAATATTTCAGTTATTGATCAAATAATATTTTTTGTCAACTTAACTAACCACTGTCATTTAGTTTAGAGATAAAATTCGAACGGGTGCATCTTTGATACCATTATCCAGAAGTAAAAACACATTTTTTAATATTTTTATCACTAATAGTTAGTTTTTATATACACTAACGGTACAAAAAAAAAATGTAAGTTCCCGTCGAGTTTCCATTACGGCTCAGAAACTCAATTAATTTTTGATGTTAGGATAGTCGTTATACTGACGTTACATTTTTATCTAGTCCTTAAAAAAGCTAAAAAAAATTAAATTAAGGTGTTATAAAATTATTTAGTTGATTTTTTAAGAAAACTTGTCCTTTTCTCGTCAGTTAAAGATTTAAAATATTATCTCAATCTAACTACCACAGAGTTATAATAATTAATAAAAAGAAGTATATATATATATATATAATTATATTTCCGTTCTACAGCATAATATAATTTAAAACAATACATCTAAGAATCACCTAAGGTTTTATGAAGCGCGTAGAAATTTATGTAATGTGGCACCCCGACTTATTATAATACATTTACCAGCACTAATTATTATTAGGTTAGGTTCAAACACTTATTGCTGTCATTTATTATTTAAAAAAAATAAATGTATGAATTAATCATACATCCAACATCTATAGCACGTCCCTGGAATGAGTATTGTTATAAAATGGCGTTACCGCCGACTACTGTTGTGTAACGGATAATAGTAATTATACACAAACTTATAGCACACTAGCGCCATATCATTGTGTTCGACGGTTGTTGATAGCATGTCGATATTAAAACAAGCCTCCAATAGCATAACATTAAGGTAACACAGAAATAGCGATGGCTGCATTGTGGGTTTGATGATGATAATTTGTTATAGCGTAAGCACACACTTCCGTATGGTCAATAATACTTTCTATAATATGTGAGTATGTCACGTGAGTGCTGTGCCCGGCGATGATCACGTATGCGAAAAAAACATAGCCAAATGCCATTAATTATTATAGATATATACTATCGAAATTGGTTTGCTAAACGTATACAGCTTTCCCTTGTGTTATGTTAGATTAGATTAATATATATGTATTGGGGGTATTAATTGTGTTAATGTTATTTTTTCAGTTGATAAAAATGGCGTGCAAGCAGGGTTGTTACTACTGAAACCAATAAGGCTGCCACATAATGGTCAAAATAACGGAATCCAAACACAAGCTTTTAACCAGCGAGCTCAAGCAAACAATTTTGCACCGCAACCGTTCGGCTTCCAAGCTGCAAAACAAAACCAAGCTCTGAGTTTAGCTTACGGAGGACAAGATGCCAGATTTCCGATTCAAGACAACAGCTATTTGACTCGAAATGTACAAAACCCAATTGTTGGCCAACTGCCCGCAGTGAACAACGAGTTTCAGAATTTAGCTTATTCGCTAGGCAACCAAATAAACGGCCAAGCATTTGGACAACAATTAGGAGGGTTCCCTGTTCCGGCGTTATCACAAGAACATTTTGGCGACCAATTTCACTCGGCGTCTGATTCTCGAGAGCACGTTGTAGAGCAATCGCATCAAAATTTCTTCAGTGATGAAATGCCGTTCAAGAAAGAAACGTCGAATAAGAAACCGGAAAAATTGACTTCGAGTTTTTTCACTCCTACGGTCTCGACGACTGACGAAGACGAATTTCTAGAAGAAAACGAGTCAAACGTTAGGTCTGTTGTGCACGAAAGAGAAATTTCAACTGCTGCTCGAGAGACAGATATTGTGCCATTAAAATACCCGAACGATTCCAGCCCAGAAGACCAAGCTAGGTTAAAACAAACTGTTCAGAGATTTTTCAATATGCTGCAAAGTAGACAATGTGAGTACCAGCACGTGTAATAAATCATAAATTTCGTATTCGTTCTATATTACACGAATTGCAAGTCGCAATAACCAATTAAAAATTGATCTATTGTCCAAATTATTAATAGATGTTAGCATTATAAATTTAATTTTTATTACATCAAGTTGTATCAACATGTCATTTAATTTCTAGATGCATCATGATTTTGTAACTTGTATCGATGGCCAACTCAAATTGCACAATTCAGAAAATCAAACACGTTTCCTATGTACACACTATCAGTAATCACTATACCTATTACCTAGTCTAAAACAAAAACTTTAACACGAGTGTTTAAAAATTACAAGTTTTTCGCTTTCAAAATTCATTAGAAAGCAGCTAAACATATTCCAGTTTGATAGACATAAAAAAAATTTTCCAATGTCATAACCACTTACAAACTAGTAATAAACTAAAAACTGGAAAATCATTTTTCATGCTCAAATTAACATCAACTACAGTTATATTAGGTACAGTTAGATGGAACAATTTTTATTTTTAATATCAATGACCAACAACTTTTGTTAGTACATTTTTCTAATAATATTAATAACAATGATCAAATCAAATAAGAAAAATAACTGATAAATGATAATAATTTAGTTTTAAAAGTTTTCATTTAAGTACAAAATAATCATTTTAAAGTAGTATACTATTAATTTTATAATAACTACATTTTAATTTAAAGTTATATTATTTTCTATAATATGTCGTAGTCAATAAATATACGTATGAAATATTTCTTTTTATCCGAGTTCATTATTTTAAAATGAATTGGTCTATAAAAGTATTATTGTTTAAGAGCCACGTGCGTTTATAAAACATGAATAAATAATAAAGAATTAACATAAATATAGAAAATATTATCTTATCTTCCATAGCTTAGGTATTACTTAAATAAAGTATTTTCATTCTAACAAAAAAATTGTTACTAAAAAAAAAACACAACGTTGTACCAATCTAAAAACACTTATTGAACTTATTATAACCATACTAATAAAATAATTAAATAAGTAAATACCTATTAAATAAATAGAATATGCTAAAATCGATGAAGTAGAAGTAAAATGTGGATATCCTTGTGCATTTAAAAACTTAAGCTACGAAAATTGTTATTATTTTTTATTGTTCATTACATATTTTTTATGCTATAAATAATATTGATGATTCTTGTATGGTTTTGTTTGTTTTAGAATAATTCGTGGACCCAGTGAAGTAAAACATAGTTAAGAAAATGAATAAAACACGATTGACTCACGATTACTTTAATGATTGTGTGTTTAATTAGCTAGTCAATTTTATAATGTATTATTTTTACTCAAATATGTACGAGACATTTTATATTTTATATTTATGCGTTTATACTTAAAAGAAAACACATTTGCTCAAGATCAAACACTATAGAAAACTGTCGACATAATAATACAATATTTAAAGCTATAATAGCATAATATTATGTAATAATATACAATGTATAAAGAACTATCAATGCAATTGCCTCATAATTAATATCGTACGTTTTTTTCATTTTGTTATCAAATTTAAATTAACAAAAATAATATTTAAGAGAATGGTATAAAACCAAATTATTGTTAATTTTACGTTAAGGAAATGTAAATTATACTATTATAATAGAGTAAACCTCAGATGATATGCTATTATAATTGCTAGTTGGTAATGTTATTTTTAGTTCATAATACATATTTTGGGTTGAGAATTTATACTTTACGATTAGACTGTAAAACAAATGATCAATTGTCACAAAAATATTAATATGAAATAACTTTATTGTTTGGGTAAGTATCTTAACTTCTATTTTCAACATATTATTTCAAACATGTTTACTTTGATTTTTCTATTTTTTAATAATGATATGTTCTTTTAAGACTTGTTTATACTATATTATTTTCTTTGGGTATTTGCAAAAAAAATAAAATTACTTATTCATGGTATTATTTTTTGTAAACTCTATTAAATATTCAATCGGCCATACAGAGTTTTTTTATAAATATAATATACTATGTACAAATGTAATTTTACACGTTATAAAAATAACAAATACATTGTTTTTTTTAAATTATAATATTATTATTGTGTTCATTTTATTAGTAATGTGTATTAATTGTCATTTAACTTACCCGCCCTTGAATTCGCCCCACCTTCAGGATATCTTGTACATTTTTTTTAGTTTTCTAATAAGAGAATTTATTAAATTATTTATTCCAAATTCATGAGTACAGGCTTAATATTTTTAGATCAAGCCATTCCAGTCTTAATATTGTTCATTGTCTAATATAATATTAGAAAGCCGCTATAAAAAAAAGTACTCAAGCGATATAGGTTCTTATATATAACAACTTTTTTAACAATTTAAAACTTAAATAACAGAAATCAGAATAAAAATGTTTCATAATATAAGCTAACCAAGTATAAATATTGCCAATATGATGTATAAAATATGTAAAATGTGAAGGTTATGGTTATGACTGAGGAAATGACAGCGTAAAATATAAATTAATAAGTGCGAAGCATAAAGGTGCAATCCCACGGCGCGTGACTTGATGCTATCGACTTCAAACCACCACAAATATTTAGCACCTAATTTGTAACGCCCGATTTGACATATTCAACTTAGCCCCTTTAGGGTTTTTGTTGTTTTTAATTTTTAGTGAAATTTTGGTTTAGCTCTACTATATACACTGCTCTTGAGTCGTATGAATTATATACAATAATATGTAAACACGAGTCATAATGTATCATTGTAACAGTCTGGGTTTATAATTATTCATTATTAATATTAATAATAACTAACTATGAAGAATTGTCGGGAATTGGTGTTAATACAAATTAGAATGTAGATAAAAGACAATCCAATTAATTTCCAATTTATACAAGCCACCTATATAACATTTTTTGCATATTCAATATAACAATTATTGGAAAATAAATAATAACAATGTTATTTCAATACAAATCTTGAGGCCCTGTGCAGCGCCTGTTATTCTTAAGTGAAAATTTTGAAAAAATTAGGTCATTTTTTATTTGACATTTCAAACCTATTTCTATACTTCGCTCCACAAAATCGAAATTACGACCACCGTATTATATATATGTTTAAGGTAAATATTAATTTAGACTCGAATATCCTATGTTACTAAGTGAAAAGGATTCGGAAAATGGTCTTTGCAATACAGGTCAGATGTAGTACTTTCGTGGAAAGGATTTAAGGGAAAATAAAATCCATCAGATAAAATGAATTTTTAATTGGTTGGAAATAAATTAAATGAAATATATAATACTTAAATATTCTAAAAATAATTGAATTACACTCAACATTTTCGACAAAATATATACTTTTAATAAAAACACGTAATTGTAAAAACAATACCTTCTCAAATCTCAGCTTACATCAAAGCTTACCTAAATACCAGTTAGAAAAAAACCGAATTTTTTTTTTTTAAAGTAATGGTTATATTTTTTTGTAATATCAAAAATATAAACCATATTAATATTGTTTGGTTGCCTCTAACTACAAACTGTACTAGACGTCAATAAATAAACATGTTTAAAATTAAAAATAAGTCTCAAGAAAAATATGTGAATACAATTATTTAATTACATTTGACACATAGACTGATACACTGAAATGAAAACTTTCAAAAATGCCAACGAACATTTTACTAAGAATAAATCCAAAAGTAAGATTACGGTATTCGCTCTGAGATCAGTCATTAGTGAACGGAAATTTGACCACAATATGCAGAACAGATTGTTCAAAGCGAGACTTCATTCATACGAAATAAAGAAAAAAACATATTTGTCCTCGTCCGTTGATTTAAACCAAGCTTACGAAAAATGTAAAGAAATATCAAAAAATGTGTCTGCACCGCTTTTGGCACATTTCGACGACGTTCACGATGTGGTAATTGTGTTTTAATACCAAAAAATGCATACAATTTATTAGTTTATAATTTATTTATGAAGTACTTAAATAGACCAGCTGTTATCAGTCGATGTTTTAATATGATCAATAATAATTGTACAGACAATTTTAATATACAACTCAACTCATATCTTAAGTTTATTATACATGACATGAAATCCGACCAAATTGTTTCAATTGTACACTAATGGTGATTCTAACCAACCGTTAGTTTATCTGATGGGGATTAACCGGTTTCTAAATAAATATAAAGGTGACCGTTTTCATACAAATTAGGTGTACACAAAACCTATAGATCGTGATGACGTAGCTGTAAAAGTAGTGTTTTTTAGATATTATTGTACTTTCAAGTCTTAACTTTAGAGAAAGTAGTAAAGCTTGTAAAATTAAATTACTTCTAACTAAACGGGTGTTAACACATTTTTTAAAGACTAAAATTAACATCCCGATTGTAGGATGTAAGTTTCTAATAACTAAAATAAACATTGACTGTGTCGTATGATAATTAAAATCAACATTTTGTTAGGTAGCTCGGACGGTGGACAAGACTTTTGATATGCGAGTAGTGCACAGCAGAAAAATCATGAAGAAACTAAATATAAAATGTATGAAATCGAAAACACCTAATCGAACCGTCAATAATATTGTGCTCGACGACCTCGTCGTTTGGAGTTCAAGTTCGCCAATAGAAGACGTGCTTAGTGTGATCGCCGTCAAGCTGATCGACATTCATTCGGATCTGTGGAACATAATTACCAGACTTTTAGAGGACAACGACCGGTTGCGGGGATGGATGGCAACGGTTTCTGGTTACGACCGGTCCGTTGACGAAGAAATAACCACTCTGTTGGCCGCCAGTCAGTCGACCGACTTGGAGTCTATCAAAGCCGAACAAAAAATCAAACTCGTCAAAATGATGTCCAACTTAAACGCGCTACTGTCTAAAGCTGAGCCGAAAGTAGGAGAACCTGATGGTCCGTACAACAATCAAATAATGTACGTGGGAGGTGCCGGAATTCAATATAGTGATAATTTCTTTATAAAAAGAAAAAGTCAAACAGCGCAGTTAAAAGCACTCCAAAGGGAATTGTTGCTGGTCAACGATCGACTCGTGATGACTGACAAGAAAAATCGAGATCTATTTGACATAATCCATTACAACCAGTTCAATTCCCAAATTGGTGCTGTACGTTTAAAGCTTAAGAGGGAGAAAGAAAAATCTGCACATTTACAATCCATTATAAACGATATGTATTTGTTAAAATACATCTATCGGAAACGCAAATAATCGTGTAAATAATATGACTTACTTTTTAAAGAACCGATTTATGTAGGGATAACTTCCAACCTTACTAAACAACGATTTCAGTAGTTGATAATGTAGTATTTTGAAATAGTACCTATAGAAGAATTTTATACATTTGGAGTGAATATTCAACGATCTTTAGTTAAAAAATATCGTTGGATAGATTTTTAAACATTAAAACCAAATCAAATATTGATTGATTCAATGATTTTGATCGTACAACATTTAAATAACTATGCCAATATATTATTTGTAAAATGATACGCTCATTTTACTTCTGATGGGTCGTATCAAAACTAAAAAAATAATCGATGGATATTAATTGTTATCCTAAGAATACGCCGTAAATACTAATAAACTGCTACTCAACATTCACCTGAGTGTGTTTATTAATAAATCTCGAAAACGTATGAATGCTTTCTAAATATGGTTAGTATTCAGCATTTTTTTTAAACAGCAACCATACATATAATTTTATAACATAATAATTGAAATATAAAAAAATTCCAATACTATTAAAAGTTTGTTTTGCTATAAAATGCGGGTTTTCTTTAATCTTGATATTTTAGTTATTAATTAATAACAATAACAATTACAAATACCATTTTTAAGGAAGATTTCCCTAATTATTACAAATTTAAACAATAGCCTAACAAATATTTAATTAGAAATGAAAGACTGAAAAAAGTTTGAAACCCAGCTTTCAATAGTTGGAACCTACTACTCTTTTTAGCTAGAAGTTTTCTTCTAAAAATTAAGAGTAATATTATCCTCGCATTAGTTCCTTAACTTTTTTTAAGAACTCGGATTTTTGGACTCCCACCATTACTAAAACACTTATACCTATTATAAAAGCCTAGATAATATCATCATCTTTATTAAAAGAAATCTTTACAATTTATAAGAAGAGTGCCTACTTACTGTTATATGCTATGGTTTGATAGCAACATTTTTTAGGATAGTCGTTTGAGGACAGCAATATTTTATCACTGTCCAATTAAAATTTGTAACCTATGTCGCACTTTAACAGTGTTAAAATTGTTTTCGAAATATCCTTTTTGACATACTGGAGAAATTATCTTGGTTTGATTTTTTACTATTATATACCTAATAGTCAGTATAATTTTAACATTTGAAACTTTTTAGATCTAAAAATATGTTTAGTTAATTTTTTGGGCTCCTAATAAATATTTTTTCTTCTTTTTTTTGTGAGGAGAAAAAAATATCAGGAATTTGCTGGTAAAAAACTTGAAACTTGCAACTTATAAAAAAATCTTTAAAAATAAAAAAATGTTCATAATTATTTTTACCGTTCAAATCATAATATCGAGAAAATTGCACATCATTTTAAGTATTGTTTCATTGATAAAATTTTAAATTAATTGTTTTTACCTTTAATTGTTCAGCAACCATAATAGCAAAAGGTCAGAGAAAAATACATCGAGTATAATATGTCCACGTACATATTTTTTATGCAAGGTATTCACGACAAAAAAATAAAAAATTTGATAACTTATTATAAGATTTTATAATTTAAAAACACTTCGACTAAACAAAAAAAAAACAGTTGGTTATACCTACAAAAAAAATGGTTGTATAAATGACAACTTAACATTTTTTAAGTTAAAATAACTAAACTTATATAAAAAAAATAATATTATCGATGAAAATAGTGTTTATTAACCATCTCAACATTGTGTTGCCACTTTTTCAGCATCGTCTTTTCCAGATAAAAATATATGTATACAGTTTCCACAC